CGAGGGGGAGAACCAGCGTTTTCGCAGGTTGGGTGAGAATTTTGCCGCGCCCCGCAAAAAATTTTACGGGTTGGACGCGTTTGTGGGGTCTGATCGAGCAACATTTTCCGCGCAAACCCATATTTTGGCGGTTATTTTGTGGGTTAGGGCATTATACGGGTGTGGTAGAGATGCTCTAATAGGATCAGCTGCGAGGGTGAATGGGAGGTTAGCAGCTGAAACACGCCATGTTCTTCTTCCTCGGGAGAATTTGAAATTCCCCTGTAGCTCGAAACCTAGATCTCGGTAGTTCACAGAAAAGAGTACTTGACCTACCATGATACACACAACAAATTTGGAAGTCAAACTCCACACATAATCAACACTAGCCCTCGTCTACGATAAAGAAAAGAGATTGTACGAATAGTAATTTTGCGTTAGATTATATTAACTTTTTATCACCCTGACCTATGTGATGCAACTACTAAGAACGCAGTCGGACTAACAAGGGCAAGACAAAGCTTCAAACATGCAAATTGAGTGAATAATACATGTTGGCATCTCATGGAGATGTTGAAGTATATGTGGATTGCACAACCTTCTTAGTTTGGACTTTTTGTTCTACTGCTTGTTGCATCTGTGCATGAAAATGGTGTTGAAATTCATAGGAATTTTAAACATTTGCTCAAACCTCATGTTTTTACTTGTTTTGAGAAGTCCGATGCAGCATGCATCTTTATTTTTCCTAAGGAATCATTTCCTGTAAAATCCACACTCCCGTGGAGCATCCAAACAACTATGTTATACAATTCCTGCTCAGATTTCAAGATATGCCTTCCAATTCCAGTGTTTTGTATCATGTATTCCAAACAGGCCCTAGCTTGTATGCGTGGTATACAAACAAATGCTAATACAATGGAACTGCAAAATACTTGGAAGAAGAAAAATGCGCAGTCTGAACATCATTTGTCCCTTCTAGTCCAGTACAGCATGAGTACTTTGTACGCGTATATGAATGTGTGTATTGGTCATATAATCTACTGTACTTGGTAGAATGGAGGTGGCTAGTATATTCGTTCTGCTGTGGAGACAGGGCGAAGGAAGACAACGATAACAGTGATGTTGTCTTTGCTGCCCCGCGCTGAGGCCTCGGTAGCCAGCCTCTTGGAGCACATTCCAGGCTCTTTCACAGTGCCCTTGATGATGGAAAGGACATCCTCGTTGCCTACCACATCCCAGAGTCCGTCACTAGCCATGACCTACAGCACATCGAAATCAAATCAAGTTGCCACCGATGAATTCTTGATGCTACAGTCCACTGCATTCATTGCAACTTGTTAGCACCGACACTAGATATTTCTCACCAAGGTTCACGAGTATAGAATTAATTTTAAAAGACCTTATTACTAATGCATGCAACATTTTCTTTATGCAACTCAGGAACAGAACAACTTACATATTTGATCATCATATCCATGATCTTTTAAATCGTCAGATCCATGATATTTCCCCAAACATATGAATATCATCGATATGATGGATTAACCACTAAATTTTGCCTTCACTGTTTATACTGTTCCTTCTTACCCAGCTATCACTAAAGAATCTTTCTGTAAATACTTTGCCACAAAGTTTTGCCTTCATTTCACATTGTAACAGAACTCAGGCCATCCTAACCTATTATCTTTGCTTGGGCTCCACTTGGGAGCACCAGAGTTTCACACCGGTATTAAATTTACGCCTGTAATTTACTTGTCACGGGTCTTCTTCATTCAGGAAAAAAGACAACAAGAGAAGCTTTTGTATTTTAATTTACTTGAGTGCCTAGTATAAACACCCAATTCATAGGTTGCAATGTACAATTATATATTGCTAAGCATTGGTAACTAGCGCATGAAAGAAACACCATACCGAAGTAAGTACTTCAAGCTGATATAATGAAGAAATAAACATCAATGAACTAATAAGCACATGATATAATTGTGTAGTACATGTATAGAGCTTAATGTATTACAAAAAGATAAACTGAAAACAGCAACACAGGTAAAGCTAATGGGACAAACCAGGAACTCGTCATCAGCTGTTAAATCAGTTTCAGTTATCTCAGGCAATGCTGTCACTGCTGGCTTGAGATCGTCATCACCAATTGACCTTGTAACCTGTCAAGAAGAGACATTACTTTTTATAAACTACATTTTTTCTGTAATTTTTTCTACAAGAACAGTTCTGAAGCATCATCTTATCAGCATAAATAGGATAAGAAATGATTTTGACGCAATTAATCGCACTGATAAATCTGTAGAGGATTTCCAAAATAAACAAATATGTCTGGGTGTGGGTTCCAGGGACTGAATCAGGCCCTGCTAATCTTTCTGCCAAAGAGATCAGATGCCTCGGCTCCTAGGGACCACCGCCTCATCAGCCTCACCTACATCTTCGCCAAGTTGGTGGCAAAGACGCTGGCCAGCAGGTTGTCGCCAAGGCTGGTGACTTAGGTTGAGAGCCAATATGCGTTCATTAGGAAGCACTCCATACATAATAGCTAGGACAAACCAGGAACTCACCATCAGCTGATTAATTACCTGTATTGATATTGCCGATCCTGCCATGAATGAGAAGAAATGAGATGCTAAATTAGACCAAGTAGCTTTAGCGCATCTCCTTATTCCTCTATGCCAATCTACCTACCCCCAAACCCCACGAACCCTGGCAATTCATCCCCAAATTTCCCCATTTCGATTTCAGGGCATCACATCCCCCTCGAGTCAAGTTATTCGTTTGGCTTGCTTGCCAGCACCGTTGCTGGACCGCCGAGCAGCTCGCATGTTGGGGTCTGTGACCAGTCAGAGACAATGGCCCATCTTCTTGTTAGAGTTATATTTATGGTGGCCTTTGGCCTCCTTTGTGTATATACGATGGCTTTTGCCTCCTGATAATATAATCAAGTTGCTATTCCAACATGGTATTAGAGCTTTAGGTTTTCTTTTCCAATCAAATCTCGCGCTGACGCTGCCGGTTGCCGTCGCTGTTCCTCCCACCCACATGCTGCAGGCCTAGCCACTACATGATGTGCTCCGATGTGCTCCAGGTGAAGGCCGCCGTTCTGATCCCGATGGGCTCCATCGCTGCTGCTACCCCCATCCATCCTGGTTCCCGTTCAGATCAGATCGGGCTGCAGCAAGTCCTTCAGATCAGGCTGCGCCTCCACCAGCAGCCACACCTTCCTCCCCAACGCTGCGCACTGTCGTAGGCGCCTGAATAAGGCATTCTGGCCCAGCCGCCGCATGCGCTTTCTCTGGGCTTGACGCCACCGACTTCTCCTGCGTCCGCCAAATCCCAGTGCCGGCTGCCGATTTCCCGCCGCCATCCGCCAGCTGTTCCTCTGCTCCTCCCGGTGTCTACCGCCCCCTGCCGTGGCCGCCGACTCCTGCTCCGCCCGTTTTTCGTCGCCGCCGGCAGCTTGCCGCGGGCCTTTTGCACATCCGCCGCCGGCCCCATCGACGCGGGCGTCCACTGCTGTAGTGGATGTGCGCTACTGTCTTCTTCAATCGATGGTTAGCAGTTGATCTGTTTTGAACCGGCTCAGCTCCTGTGGTCGGCTCGGCCCAGCTCCTGTGAACCGCCTCGGCTTAGCTCAGCTCCTGTGGACCACTCAGCTCAGCTCGTTCGACTGTTGTCCTACTCTCTGGCGGCGGATTTCGGCTTGGTTAGTTGCTTACAAAAACGAGCGCAATGTCTATCGACGGTGTTCCCTACATTGACCCCGTCTCACACATATCGGTGCTTAGTGCTCATCCGTCTGTGACATTGTCCCCTATGGCGTCCTCAGCAGGCTGTGTTGGGTGCTATTCGTCGACTCTTCTCACGGCTTCTGCCCGCGGTGGTGGTGTCTGCTCTACGCCGACTCCTCTCACGGCTTCCGCGCGTGGCAGTGACCGCTCTACGTCGACTCCTCTCGCGGCTTCCGCGCGCGGCTGTGACCGCTCTACGTCGACTTCTCTCGCGGCTTCCCCACGCGGCAGTGAACGCTCTACGTCGACTCCCCCAGTGGCTTCCACATGTGGCTCTACGTCGACTCGCTACTTTCAGTCGACTCTACATGCGGCTTCCACAGATGGTGGCGATTGCTCATCGTCGGCAGGTGTTTCTATCTCGACCTCTTCCACCATGTCCCTGTCTGCGCGTGATGTGCAGTTGTGATGCCTGCTTGCTGCTTGGGATTCTTCGCCGACAGATGCTGCAGTTTCTGTGACTGACTCTTCTGGCACTGAGAAACCACCTTCTACCCATTCGGGTACATCCCCATGGATTCTTGATACTGGAGCGTCTTTTCATATGACTTATGATTCTTCCACTTTGACCTCCGTTTGACCTATTGAGTCTCCTTTTCGTGTTCTTATGGCTGATGGCACTCCCCTCCCTGTAGCTAGTCGAGGCACTCTTAGCACTTCTACATTTCATGTTCCCTCTGTCGCTCATGTTCCTTGACTTACCATGCAGCTCATATGTGGTGGTCAGATTGTTGACTCCAGTTGTAGGGTCATTCTCGACTTTGGTTCGTGTTCTATTCAGGATCATCGCACGGGCGCTCTGCTTAGTGCTGGGCCTCGATGCTCCGATGGCCTCTGGGAGCTTGACTGGCTTCGTCTTCCCTCCGCTGCCACTGCCGCCAGTATCGCAACCCCTGTTGATGCATCTACCGGCTCTTTTCAGCAGTGGCATCATCATCTTGGCCATTTATGTGGTTCTCATTTCTCGTCTTTGGTTCACCACGGTGTTCTGGAGTCTATCTCCGGTAACGCTTCGTTGGATTGTCTGGGTTGTAGGCTTGGTAAGCAGATTCAGCTACCTTATCTGTTAGAATAAATCCGAGGTACGCGGTCGATCCACCGAGGAACAAGCAATCACGGCACAATGACGACATCGAGATTTGTTAACGAGGTTCGGCGAACTCGCCTACTCCCCAGGGCAATGACTACGGGCGCTCCTTCCCGAGATACGGCAACACCAGCCACCCGGGTGCCAGCACAAGCCACCAGCACCCCCTTGCGAGCCTGTCGCTATCTAGTCATCATGGGTTACAACATGGGGTGCCTCCTCATATATAAGAGGCCAAGGGTACAACATGTCCGACTCCGACACTACACGTATCCTACCCACACAACAACACCAAGTCCAAACGTAACCCAACTCGTACACAATATTCGACACAAAGACAACATTATCCTCATAGTGAGTCAGTGTCCGAGCGCCCTGTTGATCTCGTTCACTCTAATGTTTGGGGTCCGGCTCCCTTCGCTTCGAAAGGGGGTTATCGCTACTGTATTATCTTCATAGATGATTTTTCTCGATACACTTGGATCTATTTCATGTCTTCTCGTAGTGAGGTCTTATCTATATTGATGCGGCATACCCTACCGCAAACATGGCTAGTACACAAGTCATGATGAATAAGCCGGTCAATGACAAAGAGTTGCAGGCGACTGCGGTAGTCGTCGACAAAGGGGTGCAAACGGAGGATATTATGGATGAGGCGAAGACAGTGCGGGTCGACGAGACGAATGTCAGAAAGTTAGTTAACCGAGACAAGGACGACAAAATTATGGAGAAGATGATATATCTTAGCAAGGGAATAGATGGGAACTAGCGTATATTATGTGGTCCAGGTTTTTTGCCAATAATACACAAAGGAGCCCATGTTAATTGTGAGAAAATTGCTAGATTAGACGAGTCCATACAAGTGCATGCACGCACAACGTCAGGAAGGAATTGTTTGTTTTCTAATAATGGATTCAAAAAGGAATATCATGCATGTGTTTGGAGAAATAATAGGACGTGGAGAACATGGAGAATAAAAAGGAAAGGCCATGTATGCAACAGATTTGTTAGTTGGGTTTCATCGGATATAAGAACTCCAGTGCATGTGCTAGAAAATAGGAAGAGAAGGAGCCTGCACGTACGTGGAGATATGTTTCCAGATCGGCCGTCTATGTCCGTTTGGAAAAGGAAAACAAAGTAGCAGATTACAATGGATATGGCAAGGAGATCGGTTGCGCAAGTCACGCAAGGGATTGTACACCAACCGTTTTCCAATCAACTAGTATGGCCTGCGTGCCTTGGTTTGGCCGAACTCGTCTAAGTCGGTTTGTACCTAGGTTATATATATATTTGCTATCAAGACTTTTAGGATGAGGCTATTTTCTTTAGAGTTTAGACAGACTATGAAGCGGCCCTTTGGGCGTTCATCTTGTTTATTATTGTGAGATTTTCTATCAAGAAAATTATACTTTGGCGAGAGGATTCTCATGATCGAGAGTTTGCTAGCTATTGGCTTGAGGTCCGTCGGCGACGACGGATTGCGTGCTGGTGACGTCGACGAGAGGTGCCTTGTTTGCCGAGGTATTGCTAGTCAGTTGTTGTTACCACAGTTTCAGGTTGCATGTATCGCTCGCGTAATTGAAAACTTTTATCAGTGAAATTTAGTCGTGGTTGTTGCATCGTGAAAGATCGGGCCAAATTAGCAGCACGTCCGAGGTCGTGCTCTCATCATATATACAAAAAATATGTTGCCATGGTCCGTACCTAGTTTTCCACTCCTATTTGTGTTTTTCGCGCAGATTCAGCTGGTGAGTATATCTCCCATGCGTTGCGAGGATTCCGCAACGAGGATTCCTTGCTGAGCAGGGCACTCTTACTCAGTTCTCTTGCCCTGGTGCTCATGCTCAGAATGGTGTGGCTGAGCGCAAGCATCGTCACCTTGAGACAGCGCGTGCAATGATGATCCCACCTCACTTCTACTGCTCTACGGGGCAGTATTCATCTCGAGCGTCTTTCTGGTCGTTCTGTTGATTATTCAGCGCTTCGCTTGTTTGGTTGCGTTTGTTATGTTTTGCTTGCCCCTCGTGAACGCACCAAACTGACCGCTCGGTCTGTTGAGTGTGTTTTTCTCGGATACAGTGATGAGCAAAAGGGCTATCGGTGTTGGGATCCTGTCGGTCACGTATTTCTCGGGATACAACCTTTGATGAGTCTCGTCCCTTCTACCCGCGTCCATCCTCCTCGGCCTTTTCCATGGAGGACAACTCTTTTCTTATGTTTCCGGATACATCTCCATCCATGCCCAGTATTCCTACTCCTCGTCCCACTGTTGCAGATCCGA